CTGCGGCATAGCCATCCCCCCAGGGGGTGATCTCTCACTGTCTCCCTATCTGTCTCTCTCTGGCGAGCACACACACCCTACAGCAAAAACCTCTCCAAAACAAAAGTCAAATTGTATTTTAAATATGTGCAGATTCAATATCATATTTAAATCTTTATCTGAATTGGATTGTTTCTTGATATGGCATAAAAAAGTGATATAAGGGACCAGCAGTTGGCGTAATGGCTATGTCACTGGACTCCCATGTAGTCGAACGCGGTTCGAGTCCCAGACCCAGTGGCTTAAACTCACGCCGGGCATGTGTGTGTGTGCCCAAGATCCCAAGAGGAGAATGGAGGAGAAGGGATTGAGGTGTGGTCTCCTCCCTGGGGGGTGGTTTCTCGCTTTCCATCTTTCTGTCTCTCTGTTTTTCTGGCGAGCACACACGCCCTAAAGCAAAAACTTCTCAAAAAAAAAAAAGTTAAAAAAAAAAAGTGATACAGATTTTCCCCTGCTATATATTGAACTGAAACAACTAAACTTGCCCACTAATATGCAGTATCAGTTCTATGCTATCTCGGAATTTCATGTTTTCCATTTTAATTTATTTTGTATCTTTTCAATTCTTTTGGATATATACCTAAAAGAATTGCTGAGTCATATAGTAATTTTACATTTAACTTCTTTGGTTATTTATTCATTCATTTATTTATTTTTAATTTGACCAGAGAGACACAGAAGGTAAGAGTGAGAGAGAGGAAGTGAGAAAGCAAGCCACCAGATTCAGGACTTGAACCCTGGTTAGCCATGTGGGAGTGTCCAGCACCTTAACCACCACGCCACCTGCTGGTCCCCAAGAAGACTACTTTTTGTAATGGCAGCAACATTATCACACTTAAAAAATTAAAAATAAGTCCTTAATCTTTTCAAATGCTCACTGTAGGAATTTCCTTGATTATCATCTCACGACAATGTGTTGGCAGTTGGCATGCAAGAACAATGATCCAAATAAATCAGAACATTAAATATGAAAGAACATTTGTCTATTTTATTCTATATCAATTATGTCTAACAAGCACTGAAAACTGTCTCCAAATTGTTTTAACACTAACAACAGATACTGGAAGATCTAAAGAATCCTCCAATCTATAATTTCTACATTTACTAATATAAAAATCAAATCACTAAGTAAAAATGGATAATATTCTATTTAACCACAGAACACAAGAGATACTGAATACAATTTTGAAAAATTGACAGGTTTATAATTACCCAGTAGGCTATATACAAAAAACTTGTGACTTAAGACTAATGTAGCAACATGTTAGATGGGAATCTTTTTAGTGTTTCATTCACATTACTTTTTTAAATTATTATTTAAATT